GACCAGCGGATGAGGTATTCAATGATGCTCCTAGCGGGATCAGGATATGGGCCAGAATATGACGTCTGAGCCTGGGAAGACGACATGAATTGTGATGAGCTCATACAGGAATATGAAGCCAACCACCCCCAGCCCGCAGAAGCTGCGCCAACAAAGAACATCAACAACATAAATCAGTATAAAACCACTGCCAGATCAAAGTGTAAGGAAACTCTCTGTTTGAAAACTCGATGTTGAGAGGAATTCCATGAGATGGCTTGATAGGGTAATTACGACGCGAATCCTTAATTAGGGCTTTTTTAAATACGCTAATACTGAATAATACCAAAATTACCTTAACCGGTCAATAATATGCCGTATAATATACACTAATTGAAACCACGCTAATTGGGGCAAAATCTAACCACAAGGGGATAGCCTATCTCTTACACTTATATTTCTGAGGAATTGATTTGTTAGACATCTTGTATGTATGTTGACTTCATTCAAAGCATTTAATCATGATCTCATCAATGGAAACCTTTGAGCCAGGTGTGTAGTATTTTCAGCATGTCATATGGAATTCAGTGGTCAATGACTCTACATTATATCATCAATCCTTATTTCAGACCTCAGACCGGCGGGCTTCATAAGGGTTAGATATATAAATATATTGTTTAAACTGCTTAAATCACATATGGCTCATATAGAATTGAATGGAATGAATAGAACTCTGTTTCAGATTATTTCATCAGTATAAATCAATCTGTTGAAATTTATGAACTTTTATATAGAGAAGAATGTCTATAAACATCTTTATTTCTGCTGAATTGATCTTTTTTCATGATTGTTGCTGAATAAAAAAATTGAAAAATATAGAGCTTTTTAAATTCTCTTCTTTTTTCTTCTTCTCTTCTTCCTCCTTCTTCTCCACTTCTGAGAGCTCTGGAGCTTCATCATCAGTATTTTCAGCATCTCTCTTTAGTTTTGCATATAGATTGGTGAAATCACTGATATTTTGAAAGCATTTCTCAAATAAGAATAGAGTAAATAGAGTGTAGAGACTGCTAATATTGATATTCACAGAAATATTGAGAATTGAATCTTGCAAAGCAGGCTGCATTGGAAGGAACTTCACTGACTTCAGAGGTGGAAGCTCTGCTATGACCTCCTCAACAGCTCATTTTCATTTTCTAGATGTTTTTGTACAGTCTAGAGAATTGATTAGTTAACTAGGTCATAAGAATTGATTAATATAAGGAAATTACCATTGGATTTGGCAGTTTTCTCAGTGGATTCCATGTTCGCGGGTGGGTGGATGGATTCCATGATGGAGAGAATATGCAGGCAGGCAGGCAGGCAGAGAGTAGAGTTCAAACGCATTGAATTCCATACACGTTTTCAAGCTTGGCATGGAATCGCCAATCAGTGGATTTAAATGACCAATTACTGTTCATATAAAATTATATGGCGTTCTATTGGTTATAAAAAGGCGCCGGTGCAAAATTCCATACACTAATTGAAACCACGCTAATTGGGGCAAAACCTAACCACGAGGAGATAACCTGGGTTTATTTAATTGCTCTGTCGATCAAAGAGGCAGGACAAAACTTGCTCGCTCTCTCGTCCAAGGATCGGCCCAAAAGCATGCGGCATGCCAAAGATAGCCAAGGACCGCATGTTTTGTACCTGACGTTTTCCAAAATTCAGGTGCCCGCGGGGAACAACTGTTGGACGAATAGAGTAAAGTTGTTGCTTTCATATTTCCCCAGAGGCCCAAAAGCAGGATGATTTCAATATGCGGACCAAAATACCTCGGTGGCTGTTGCGGGCTTGGCCATTGTAACGTTTGGCAAGCTTGTGGGGATAAGCCGCTGATCCAACTGCAGATCTCTTGGATTCCAGAGATCGAGCCGACATGACTGCTCGTACATTTACGGATTACCGCAGCGGAAGGAGGATTTGGCAGAGACTCACGCATCGATCCGTGGATGTCACCATATCTCCTGTGTTTCTGCTTATATTCCGTATCCTCGCGTGGGTTGGGTCAAGAGCTAGGTTACCGCCATAGTTATCCCATTGGTCCAAACTGAAAATAAAGACTAGGTTCAACGTGATGCCGCAGATCTGGCGTGATACAACTCCCTGCATAAACGCACTTGGCGTGCGCGTTGCGGACGGGATATGGGGAAACTGCACCATATTCCTTGTTACGACTGGCTGCCGGCCCTCAGTGGTTCCGCACCAGAACATCATCCAGCTTTCGGGAATCTTGCCCCCATGGGGGAGATCGTTCTACGGAAAATGCCACCTTAGAGAGGGGAACCCATGCTCGTGGATTCCTGCGTCCCAGGCCCCAAAGCCGTACGAAAAGCGCTGGGGTGTGGAGTCACTTTCCCGGTTTCCTTTAAACGCAACAAGCCCTGTCGGCGGTTCACGTTTATGTCCCCGATCCCTGGGCCGTGGTCATATATATGCATCTATAGCTGTGGAAAACTTGACGGCTTTTTTATATTTTCTATTGAAACAGCTCTTTACTTCTAGCATTGATTAGTCCTGGGTATCTAGATCCTGATTGAGCGAAGCTACGCGCACCATGGCTATTTTATCATGGCTCTCCGCCGTGGCGCTGGTGACATCGGCTGTTGCGATGTCTCCCGAGTAAGCTGCATCTGTTTTATATTTCTGGTCGAATTGCCCGAACCATTTTTAACGTATTATGCTCACACATTTTTGGGTTATAGGCAATTCATCTCTGCCCCTCGACGAGGCGAAGCGATCCCGAACCCATCAGGAGTGAGTTGACATTCTTCTTTTCCATTACTGTTCTCTTTTCCAAATTTTCTTCTAAAGGCACATCTTCTGCCGAAATTGGCACGCCTTTTTTATTGGTTGGTATCCTCTGACTTCAGCTCGCAGGAACTCGCTTTTTTCCACGTCTCCCAGTATTCATTCGAAAAGCATGATACAGTTAAAAGCGAATGGAATTTACTTAATTTGAAAACAGGAGACATTAGCCTTCTGACCGATGATAGCATGTTTCGGAGATCTTTTGGGCTAGGGGGAGGAGGATTCCCAAGTTCCTTATATCAATAGCACTAGCTCAGATGTGCCAGGTGGAGTTGACCTATTGGGCTTCCGATGTTAGACATTTTGGAAAAAGGTAAGTTGTTTCAGCTACACAAGTGCGCTGCGTGGTGCAACTACTAATAGTTGCTATAGTCTTAAGGTTGCCTCATTCAATGGGCCCCCTTCAAGATTTCAAGGCTGTAAGGACCAAATCAGGCGACGTTAATTTCGTAGCCTCTGGTAGATCGACAAGAGATGGCAAACTTTACAACAAAGAGCAGGCGGAGAAGCGTTATAGCTCAGCTCGCATTTATGACAGCATCTATGCTCGCCATTGGGATACTTGGCTGACTCCAGAATTCAATGCTGTTTTCTCGGGCACGTTAAAAAAAGGATACGGCAATGCGTACACCTTCGACGGGGATCTCCACAACCTTGTGTCTCCCGTAAAGCATGCTGAATGTCCTAACCCACCGTTTGGCGGTGCGGGAGACTATGATCTGTCGCCTGATGGAAAGACTGTTGCGTTCATGAGCAAAGCTCCGGAGCTTCCAAAGGCCAACCTCACCACTAGCTACATCTTCATTGTTCCCCACGATGGCTCTTCCGTTGCTTTTCCCATAAATGGACCTAAGAGCGGCGCCGCTGTTAATGGCATTGTCGGTGCTTCATCCAGCCCTGCATTTTCTCCCGATAGCAAGAAGATCGCATATCTACAAATGGAGGAACGCAGCTATGAGGCTGACCGCAGAACCGTCTACGTTTCCACCTTGGATGGAAGCAAGATTATCAGCCTTGCTAGCAACTGGGATAGATCTCCCGATGCTCTTAAATGGGCTCCTGATGGAGAGAGCTTATATCTGTCTGTCGAGGATCGCGCTCGGGGCAGACTATTCACTCTTCCTGCTAATGCAAGCGCAAATTACGTGCCCAAAAATTTCACAGACCATGGTATTGTTAGCGCCTTTCATTTCCTTAAAGACTCGCCGTCCGTTCTCACCACTACAACTACAATCTGGTCAAACGCCATCTACACCATTGCCTCTCCTGACGAGAAACCCAAAATTTTATTCTCTGCAAACGAACATGATGCGGAATTGGCAGGTTTAGGCCCCGAAGATATCGAGGAGTTCTACTTCGATGGGAACTGGACTAAGGTTTGTATTTCTGTATCTATACTTGTTAAAACTTTGCTGATGCATAAAAGATTCATTCCTGGATTGTGAAACCTGAAGGCTTCTCTGCAGATAAGAAATATCCCCTCGCTTTTCTTATCCATGGTGGGCCTCAAGGGTCGTGGGGAGATTCATGGAGTACGAGATGGAACCCCAAGGTTATCGCCGATCAAGGCTACGTTGTAGTGGCTGTCAATCCCACAGGCAGCACAGGATTCGGAGACGAGCTTTGTGACCGAATTCAAAATGACTGGGGTAGGATGGGACCCCACATTATAGCAACTCTTGCCTTTTAACAGAACATTTCACGCTAACAATGCATTATTTTTACAGGCGGAGCCCCATACGAAGACCTTGTAAAGGCTTGGGAATATGTTCATGAGAATTTCGATTATATCGACACCGATCATGGCGTTGCCCTCGGAGCAAGCTATGGAGGATTTATGATTAACTGGATCCAAGGCAAGCCACTCGGTCGCAAGTTTAAAGCTCTCGTTTCCCATGATGGGAGCTTCGTTGCGGCAGCCAAGGTCTCCACCGAAGAACTATGGTTCATGGAACATGAGGTACGTTCTAATCAATACCTATAACTCCACGTTGTTCATATCACCTGCCTCGGCCTACCGTATATCCTTCTAACACACAAATAACAGTTTAACGGCACTTTCTGGGACGCACGGGACAACTACGAACGCTTCGATCCTTCCGCTCCTGAAAATATCCTACAATTTTCCACCCCAATGCTCATCATACACAGCGATCTCGACTACCGTCTCCCTGTGGCAGAAGGCATTTCTCTCTTCAACATCCTCCAGGAACGGGGAGTCCCTAGTCGCTTCCTCAACTTCCCAGATGAGAGCCATTGGGTGGTCAGCCAAGAGAACAGCCTGGTGTGGCATCAACAAGTTCTTGGCTGGATTAATAAGTACTCTGGTATTGAAGCGAGTAACCCCGAAGCTGTTAAGTTGAGCGACACAGTTGTACCAGTGGTGGATATTGATGCTGGGCCTAATAATTAATTCGCCGATGTGCATACATATCAATCATATGCCACAGGTGCGCGCGTTGCGTTCCAGGATATATCCTTCTACATCAATACCGAATAATACATCCCCTCTATTCCGGATTTTCTGTCGTTCTTATTTTAATTGTACATATATCCCTCCCTCTTATTCTTAGCTATATATATCCGGTTATGCCCTGCCTAATTCTGTTTTTGTCATGTTTCTTCTGGCTTCACGTTACCTCGAAAGCGGTATTGTGTTATTTCGTAACAATCTTATTCATCATGAGTCCATTACATGGAGGCAATTGTTTCCTTAATTAGATAAATACTTTACGAGGGTAAGCAGGTGTCGGCATACGATATATATTCAGGTCAAGGAAGGCGTAGAATTGCAATCAGAAAAGGCTATGAAGTCGAAAGGTTGGGTATTAATCGAATCCAAACAATGTGGGGAAATAATGGATGGCGGCGAACGTGATTATTGCATATACAACTATTTCAGCCAGCCTCAGTTTAAAGACCGAGTAGCAAACAGACAACATGTCACGTAGGTAAAGAGAGGAGGATTTGACCTATCTTTTCATGCGCCCAGCACTAGCCAGAGTAATGTTACATTGCTGTTTATCCGGAGTAGAATGAGGAAAAGCCTTCAGGGGAAAATAAAAAAGCAAAACCAATTAAGGAAGTGTGGCCCGGATAAATTCAAGAACTCGGGCCGGGACGCGGGCTCCCAGTCGTCTTCTTGTTAACAAGACCCGCAAAGAAGCTCGCAAGGGCTTGGTTTTGCATCTTGTCATCGCCGGTCCCGCTTCCGGGGGATGTAGTGGGTGTTTGGGGTAAGGGATCTTTGCGGACTGGAGTTCGATTCGCTTCCCGTTCCTGTTATGGGAGGTGGAAGAGTTAGTCAAACTAGTTTGGTATCGACGTGTGGAATGAAAATAAAATGGAAGTGTTTGTAGGATATTTTACCTTCAACTTTCTCAACATATCATCCGCGTCCACTTGAATGCCTCCCATGTTAAACTGTACGGGTCCAATATGCTCACTCACACGAGATGGCTCGTCCATAGGGATGCTATTGTCCTGATCCTTAAGCGAGCCTCCCTTGCGCAACTGCTTGTCTCGCTGCTCGTCTTCAGCTTTGAGCTGTTCAAGGACCTGGAGTTGGTCGGATAAAAATGATTGCATATCCCGCGTTTCTACTTCGATCGCCCTGTCCCATCCGGGCTGCGTACTTCGGGCAATGGATAAACTCAGCTTGGGATCTCGGATGGTTTGTTCATAGATGAGAGTGGCGCTGCTGCCGTCTTCCATACCCAATTCCCCAGAATTGTTCTTGGTGTTTTCTTCATCTTGATTATCACCATCAGTCTCAGATACTCCGCGAAATTGTTTAGGTTTGTCTTGAATCTCAATGGACCAGCCTGTCCCAACTCCTTCTATATCAAATCCTTCTCTAATTATTCGGATTTTTCCCCATGAATCCCAGTTTGATGGGATTAGTATCTTATCTCTATCTATGACGTTGTGCTTCAGAGATTGTCTCTTGAGTAACGAATGGATTCCAAGCGAGGAGTGGATTAAACTCTGTAACGAGTTGGCAAGGAATGGTGTTGTATATATGAGCGAGGCCCCATCTATAAAACCGTAGGACGGTCAGCTTGTTCATGCGGCAGAGCTCGGGAAAACTCATACGTTTCAGCAGAATCGTTCTCATGAACTGTAGAATAAAGTCAAACTCCTCCTCATGCCAGCCATGCTCTTTCTCCAACTTTTCAATTTTATCCGCCTAGCAAATCACAGTAGTGTCAGTACCAGCCTCTACACCGGAGTGAGTGGGAAAGAAATAGTATAAAATTTTACATACGCCTTGACAAACGACACACATAGGAATCCCTAAGCCTTCATCCCATTCTCCTGGACCTAGGGGGATTGTAACTGGTCCACCAGAGGTTGTCATTCCCCCGCCTGCTGAAGATGCTGGATCGCCGCCTCTTTTGTGGTCTCGCCATTCAGTCATAACTTCTTCCATTACTACTTTAGTTTCATCATCAAGAGAGATCAGGACAGAACGTAGAAGACGAATCCATTCTTGCAGCTGTCGAACCCACGTCCAAGGATTTTCCCAGTCCAGTAATATCACTATCAGCGTCTCCGGTACGGTTTTCGGGGTGAGGAGCGGCTTGAGAAGTGGTGCGAAGGACGACGACGGTTCGGAGAGTAGATAGATTGAAACTCGGGCAAGAATATCTATGGAAAGATTTTAGCTAATATTATGCTAAACTGCACAGATATACCTGGTATTTCGTACCCTCCTGGTCAGCATCCAACACATCGTGATAAGTATACCCGAGCGCGAACTGATTCGCAATGGGAGGCACTCTTCCTTTTCGTCGCCCAGAGTGCACCCGTGGGTCTGACTCGTCTGATGATAATGTCTCAAGAAACTCTCTCTGGCTATCGGGCGTACCGCCTAAAATGTTCAACCCGGGTCAGAAAGGAACGAAGTAGGTTTCATGCTCGTGGATGGCTTTCGCGATCCAACGACCCAAAGCGCCGACATAACGCATAAATATCCTGAAGCAATTCAAAGGGCAGGGAAACACGAACCCAAAACTAGTAAATTCTTTTCCGGTAATCGTTTCCCGCTTGCTACTCCATCCAGCATAGAGGACCATATGTTCTTCTTTGCGCCATCTTTACTCGATGGCCTACTCCCCTGGCTCAAAATCGATGACCTTTGTCCAATTCCAACCATGCTGACGGTACCATGCCCACACTTCCCAGTCACGAAGAAATAGTGAGGATAAGTATTCGCGGATGTTTGAACAAATACGAAACCGAATGGATTCCGGTTTCAACATTCAAGGAGAAGAACAAGCTGGATGGCGGCGGTGGAACGAAAAGAGGAGATATGAAATAGCTAGACTGGTTGATTTTCCATTTGCGTAAGTATTGAATTACAATTTCTCAAATGGCTGACAGGCGCAGAAACTCTTACCATGGCAGGTTTGTCTTCGGGGTCGGTTGAGCTGACCGTTCAAACAGTTCTTGGTATTTAACCCCTGGGTTGATGTCACGCGTTTTTTGCTCGCCGCCCTTTTTCCAAAGCCAACTCCGCAAGTCAAAATTTCCACCTTGGACCTACCACGCTACTAAATGCACCAATATTGGATTATTATTTACTACAGACCTAGAGGTACAGTCTCGAGAAATAGAAGACTAGCTAGCGCTGTTATTTAACACGCTGGCTAATTGAATCCCTCCCCATTCCAAACGGACTAGGAATGAACGCCATCCGCCAGCTTCAAGCGCTGAACAAGCGAGAGCTTGAAAATGTCGTGTAAGTCCTTTGTGTGGCCCTGTATATTTCTTATTCGTCGAAGTATTCGAACTCCCGCAGCTGATGAATCTCCCTTTTTCGCGTTTAACTATTAGACCTCCAGAAGCTTCATGGCATGCCGACTACCGCGACACAGCGTACATCTACATTGGATCCCTCCCTTCCGACCTTAGCGAAGGGGATATATTAACTATTTTCTCCCAGTATGGGGAACCGGTTCATCTTAACTTAGTGCGCGACAAAGAGACGGGCAAGAGCAAAGGGTTCGCTTTTTTGAAGTATGAAGACCAGCGAAGCACGGATTTGGCAGTGGATAACTTGGGCGGGGCGACAATTTTGGGTAGAATGATAAGAGTGGATCATGCGAGGTATAAAAGGAAGGAGGAAGAGGGACTGGAAGATAATGTTGCTGCGATGACCGTTGGTGAAACGGGTGAGAGGTCAAAAGTGAACGGCGAAGAAGCGGCCCAGAAACGAGCTACGAAACATGGCGATAGTGAAACTAATACAGAAGATCGAAGGGATTCAACAGAGACCTTTATTAAAGGAGGAGAAGGAGTTACAGAAACTTATAGAAGAACATGATGACGAAGATCCTATGAAAGAATATCTCATACAGGAGAAACGGGAGGAGGTAGCTAAGGCTTTGGAACGTCTAAACAAACGAAAGGAGCACCGAAGTGATGGCACTGAGAAAGAAGACAAACATGGTCACCGCCACCGTCACCACCGTTATCATAATCGAAGACATCGATGCGATCGATCATCCTCCCCGGGAAGAGAAAAACAATTTTCACGGCACGAGCGATCAAAGTCACCATCCCAATTAAAAGAGCGAAGACACCATCGAGATAGAAGAGATCGCAGCTGAGATGACGGCTTCTAGAGCTGCAGACGACCTTCTGTGATAATAAGTTACGGAAATACTGTCACTTCGTTACCCGAGAGAGTGGGGGAAACGGATAAATATCCAATTTTGGGCCCAAGGGTTACAACATTCTCGATCCAACTCGAAAAGATGTCCGGTACTAAATATATTTCCTGCCGGAGCTCGAAGACCTTTTACGATGCCGCCTCGCCTACATTTCGTTGGAGCGGTATATGCCAGTATTCATTTCCACGATCACTGATGTGGGGAAATGCGTGTTGTTATCATCCAGTTCACCAACATGTGGTAAAATTTCACCCGAATCGTCATGTGAAACCAAGTGTCCCGTGGATTCCTTGCGAAAAATAAAGAGGTAAAAAAAAGAGGTGTCTTTCTGAATAGTCTCTTCGGTGCTCCGCCTTTCAACCACCTCCAAGATATCTTTTCCAGCCTTCTCTGACGCAATATCGCTTTCCATCATGGTCCTGTCCGATGACGAATCTTTCCCACCTACCCTCTTTCCCGGCACTTATCACCAGAAGAGTCGTGTCACTAATCCATCCAATAACCCCTTTCGATGGTCGTCCGAGCGAGGAGCCCAGGGGAGGGAGGTATGCAGAACCAAGAGGACCCTCATCGCCAATCTCAAAATGAGCGCTTGCAAAAGAATAAATGTCAGAAAATACCCGAGGGAGCAGAGGGACCTTCCCAAGGATACCCCATTTCTGGTTTGCGCCTTCTACGGGAGGCGTGGCGTTGCGAGCATGCGGGAGGTCAAAAATGTGCAAGGTAGATTTATCTGACGTGAGGGCGAGAAGCGTGTTTGAGGGGGATATGGCCAGCGAAAATATTTCCGCATGATCTACACCTCTCCGGAGCTCAGCCATCTTTGCGCAATTTGTTGTAGCAAATATTCGAACCAGCGTTCCCTGCATGTTAAAAATCAAATTTAGCTGCCCTTGTTCAAAATCTTCTACTCACCTTAAACAGTAACATTTACAACTTTGGAGGAAAATTCATGTTTTTAACTTACCGTCTCTCCCGCCGTTGCCAAAACCTCGCCATTGGGGCTAAGGTCGATAGCTCTTAATGGAGAGCTATGAGCCGGAATGATACTGACATTCCCCGTCTCGAGCTCGACAAGCTGGACCTGTCCTGGGGATCTTCCGGGGAAAGCTAGCAGTTTGGTCCCCAGACAGACCAAGCCATGAGGGTTGTCTGCGGTCTCGAAGACAGACAATTTCTGCGGGGGGATCGAAAATGCAAAGATATGTATGCTATTATGTAGCACAACGACGATACGGGACTTGGATAATCGGACGCGCAAGACAGAAGTGCGGAACTCGAGCGTGATGACTGCTCGTTGCTTTGCGTCATCCCAGATAATCAACTTTGCAAATAAGAAAGGAGGAATAAATTAATATATTAGAGTGAAATTATGTTTGTCATTATATATAATCTTATGTTGACTCCTTTTTTTGACAGAGTCCAAAATCGAAAGGTAACAAAAATTCAAGTAGGGAAAATTACTCACTTTGTTCTGGGGGAATTTGGGCTTGCGGCCTCCACCCACCAGAGCTAGATAATTAGATTGACCCAACATCTCGACCACTCCGATGCCTGCATTGAAATCTACTATATTGAGGAGGGGCAGTTAAGTATTAGGGGCCCAAGCAGATCCAAATAATCAATGCAGGGGAAATTGTGGGAGAACAATAAAAAGTAACGGCGGGGGATTAATGTAGTGATCAAGTATATCCGATATATTTTGATTTTTATAGGAAAATATCTCACCTCTTGAAACTTTGAGTTCACATGGGTCTGAGTTAAAAACTGTTTAAAGATGGAGGAGATGTAGAGTACATAGTTAGCGTACAAGGATCTCTGATGTGTATGTCGTAGCTTAGGAAAGATCGCCGCAAAGAAGGGCCATACTGCAGAAGCCGGTATCAAGTCCGACAGAGAATGAAGAGCTGTCAGCGTTAAAGGCGGCTGAATGTGACACTGGGCCCGTCGAGGTATCTATAACCTGTCTGGTATTCATCGTGTGAACTTTGCACGTCGTAGGCAGCAAATTATGCCAATAAGGTAAACATCGGCGTGGTTGGGGTCATGGTAGATGCGCACAGGCATACAACAGAAAAACGGAACGCAGGAAGAAAAGTGAAAGGGATTAAGGCAGGGCTAGGTCCACCGTATATAATCGAGGTGGACAGAAGATTCGCGAAGATATTTTATTTTAAATAAGAATATCATCTCTATATGTATCGTATAGTTAGCTCTCTACGGAGTACCTTCGATGTTCTCGTCCGAAAAGGTCCGAATCCGGCCCATATCACGTGGATACTGATCATGGAATGGAGTGTCAACGATCCAAGGGGATTACATTATTCCGGTATCCAAAATACGCCAACCTAAACGCGGGACGTCTTGTACCAGGTACCAGATGTGGTGATGTTTCACGGCCCATCGTTTTTGTCCTGCCATCCCCATATGCCAGAGTTCCTTATTGGAATTTATCGAAAGGAGCGAGCCCATAGGTGATTTGTCCTGGTATAGGTTGGTCATTCTTCACCGTTGTCTCGGCTTCTTTGCGTGTAGACCTATGAAATTTATATGTGAAAATCTGGCGTGTTATCTACAAGCTCTGGATGAAAAGGGGGAAACACCAAAATTACGGAACCTTTCCCATCGACGTGGTAGGGCAATACAGCGTTAATACAGTCCACTCCAACAAGCAGGAACAGAGCCCCTTAACTGGATTTATTACCACTAGTGTACTTGCAATACCCAGTTGCACACTCCATTTGGTGGTGCTTGGCGGTAAGCAGCGTTCTGGAGTGGTAAGCACACCTCCAGCTGCGTCTCAGGCCCAAAATCAAGCACGCCCCCTACTGCTTCGAGTAACCATCTCGACTTCAACCCTTTTTTCCTGTGACATCTGTGTCCCAGTCCTCCTGCTTTGTCTCTCTCCCATTCTTCTCCTCTCTGTCTCTGTGTTTCTGCTGCGTGTCAATTCTCTCATTCTTCCTTTTTCTCCTGGCCCTCTTGCCTCGCTGGAGATCCGCTCCGCTCGCCTTCTCCCAAGCAATCTCCGTTACACCGTCCCCTTCGAAATCACCAGCAATCTAATCCACCATGTCTTCTGCTGTCAACGCTGTATGTCTCTCTATTTATTTTATTTTCTCTATCCAAGAATTGCTTATACGCTGTCACATACGTTTGTCCGGCGTATTATTTACCGCATTCCTTTTCCCCAATTGTCGTGACCATGCTGCGATCTGACAGGCGTTATGACCAGATTAAGATCCGTCGGAAGAAGAATGTCAAGAAAGGAATTCAATTCTGTCTGATGGTCTGTGGTGCCAGCGGAACAGGTACGTTGAACTCGTTTCATCTAGACGTGGATTACTGATTTCCTTGTTTTCACAAAAAAAATCTAACTGTCCGATTTATTTGCTACAGGCCGGACTACCTTTGTCAACACACTTTGCGGAAAGAAAGTTCTTCAGGGGAAAGATGCCGATGACGCCCAAAATGCCCATCTCGAGGAAGGCGTCCGCATCAAGCCCATCACCGTTGGTAAGTGCCAATGAAATCTGATTGATTAATGCCAATTGGACTTCGCCCAACACTAACTGGTTTACAAGAACTCGAACTGGACGAGGAAGGCACCCGCATTTCGCTAACCATCGTTGATACCCCGGGCTTTGGCGACCAAATTGACAACGAGCAAAGGTGTGACCAAATTCATATCCAGTTTGGATCGGAGCATTCTTGGGGTAATGTTAGCTAATCAAATATGCACGCAATGTAGTTTCTCAGAAATCGTCGGATATCTCGAGCGCCAATATGATGACATCTTGGCTGAAGAATCCAGGATCAAGCGTAACCCTCGGTTCCGTGACAATCGTGTACATGCTCTGTTGTACTTTATCACTCCCACCGGCCACGGCCTGCGAGAACTTGACATTGAATTGATGAAGCGCCTTTCACCACGCGTCAACGTCATCCCCGTTATTGGCAAGGCTGACTCGCTAACACCTGCGGAGCTCGCGGAATCGAAAAAGCTTGTTATGGAGGATATTGAGCACTATCGTATCCCTGTGTACAACTTCCCCTATGACATTGAAGAGGATGACGAAGATACCGTTGAGGAAAACGCTGAACTTCGAGGTCTAATGCCCTTTGCCATTGTTGGTTCAGAGGATGTTCTAGAGATTGGTGGCCGCAAAGTTCGTGCGAGACAATACCCGTGGGGTGTGGTCGAAGTTGATAATCCTCGTCACTCAGATTTCTTGGCTATTCGCAGCGCGCTTTTGCACAGCCATCTTGCAGACTTGAAAGAAATTACACACGACTTCCTCTACGAGAACTACCGTACCGAGAAACTCAGCAAGAGCGTGGAGGGTGGCGCTGGAACGTACGTTTATATTTTTGTACATTCTCGTTTAATCCTTTCCAATGGTTTGCTAACGGACTCCAAACAGTAACCAAGATTCGTCCATGAACCCTGAAGACCTTGCCTCTCAATCTGTCCGCCTGAAGGAGGAGCAACTTCGCCGGGAGGAAGAGAAACTCCGAGAGATCGAGATCAAGGTGCAACGTGAGATCGAGCTTAAACGACAGGAACTTCTTGCTCGTGAGAGTCAATTGAAGGAGATCGAGGCACGGATGCAACGCGAGCACCACAACCACTTGCACCAGGATGAACTGAATGGCGAGGTCAACGCATAATCGGACTGGATTGGATTACAAGTCAACGGCATCCAAAGACCCAATCAAGACGACGTGACCTAAGTGACTGGCGGTTTGATATCGCCGATAATATGACATCACCTAATATAGCGATGGCAACTGTAGATGAGCGCGACCAGAACGTCTCTAATGGGGGAAAGGGAGAGAAAACAAGGTTTGAGATTTGGAAAAGACTGTCCGTGAAATGCTTTTCTCTGGGGATTATCGTTCTTTAGCTTGGTTGGGGGCTTTCTTATTCATTACACACTTCGCCCTTTAATTCACACTGCTCTTTCGTTTCTGTTGGCCCTGACCACCAACATTTTACACCCATTTATCCCTCTCTGGCAAACCCACTGAAAAATAGTAGTTTTGAGGAAAAGTTGATACACTTTCGCCTACCAGAATCACATCATCTATTCTTCTCCTAATTTCTCTCCCCTGGGTATTTTTGCTGAAGCTTGTACCTTCCTTCCAATTCCTTTTCCTACTCATCCTTTAATTCGTACCTTACCCTATTACTGTCTTTTTACAGAGAGATTTTTTCCCTTTTTTTCGCTTGCCCTTTGTCTTCGCCCGGTCTACTATTTATTCCCCGTTTTATCTCGCTCTGAAAACAGTTACTGAATGACTATTCCCATATTACCTTCTCTTATATTTGCGTATTTTTTTCTTTTATCACGTTCCTATTTTCGTTCGACTTTATTTTTTGCTCTTTTTATTCTCTTTTCTCTATTCCACTGTGTTTTATTTGATGTTATTGTCTCTGCCAATTTCGCGGGAAGAGTGAAAAGGGGGAAATGTGGCGATGGGGAAGGGCGAAATAGCTGAGTTAGCACATTTTTAATCTTCGAATTGTATTGTCGGTTTTGTTTCTTTTTATATTTTATATACTTTGCTGCCTTTCCTATCTTTGTCCAACTCCTTACATTACTCCAAGCGTTTCTCATTGAGTTCTTCTTTCCCACTTGTCCTCTTGCTCCCTGCTGTGTGATATACATCTCTCATACATGATTTCTCGCCATGGTCAGGCAGGAATCTTTTGACCACCTCTCTCCTTTGCCCCCTTTCATCCCCTTTTTTTGCCCTGGTATTTAGTAGGTTCACTCTATATTGTACCCAGTTCTTTCGAGAAACCTGTCAATTGCTATCCTTTCGCCCATTTCCTTCGTTTAAATAAAGATATCAGCAACTCGCAAAATGCCCTACTGGATAGATCGACTTACACGTTGTTGCTGCACCAACAATCCTCTTTAGCCTTCATCCTAACCCCTCTTCGTCTAACAGCCAAATTACAGGCAACCAACTAAGCGGCCATTAGCCTAACCGTTTCCCTCTCTCTTGTGTTCGGATGCACAGTACTGGGTGTCTCAGGGACGAGTATTAGCAAACTGAATGATCTCTGCTCTGTTTCATTACGCCGTCCTCTTCCATGTGGAACACAAGTCCATGCAAATGCTAGAAATATACATGTTAAATCTAGTACATACTTGTCAACAAACTTGTAGGCGATTTGGGTTCAGTTTTATAGCTGAGAAATTGTATTTCCATTTCACCATCTAGCGTATGCAAAGACTTTGGTTCCGCACTTGCGTATATAGAAATTGTTCCAATTGACATGATGCCAATATGCATTATAAGGTACTAGTCCTTGTCTACGAAATCACTTTCCTCCAGTCGTGGTAACCACTACACAAATACTAGTAGCTCAAAATCGCCCTCGATCTCGCAAGGCCCAATGCCCCACAAGAAAAAGGCCCTGTCTATCCAGCCTCTGCAAAAGAAAAACCTGCTCTTGACGGCTCGGTCGGTGTATGATGACATAATCGAGTAAGTCGACCCCGGAGACGACTGTCTATCAATTCTCCCTTCTTGGTCCTGAATTGCGAGTTGTGAATGGCCGTTATGGCATCTTCTGTGCAGGAATATCCGCGGCCAGATTTTGTTCGCTCAGACCTTAACTGGAAATCACTCAATGGACCCTGGAGTTTTCTCTATGATGACGATGACAGCGGCATATTGGATGGATGGCACCTGCGAGGCCTCCCCGAACAGATCGCTGTGACTGCTGGACAGAACAGTGGCGCCGGGAAAACTTTAC